AGGATCCTCACATGCTCAACAATATCACGACGTCGCACACACGAAATTAAATCAAAAACCCACCAAAGACTATACACTTATCAATGTAACTATTATTCAAACCATACAACTATCCACGCTATTAATCCATATAAACTAACCGATCACATAACATTTCAACAAATTCATCTCTACAATTATCTGTACTATAAATCAACTTTTGACTAACCAACTATATCACATTCTAGTAACCTCATCTTTACAGTCAGTGGTTATGGTACAGTTAGTAAGTGGTTATAATACAGTTTTAAAGTCACAGATCAGTTAGTAACAGTTATGGTATTATACATATAACATAAAACAGCAATTGTTAGTAATTTTTACACAATGTCAGTGGTTATGGTACATGTCAGTAGTTATGGTACCGTGCGCTATTTTACAGTTATACACACAATTTACACTCCCACTAGACAGCAGAGCTCTAACTTTCTAGTAGGACATACAAGTTAACCAATTCACCAACTACAATATATTTAACAACATTTACAATAATCCCAACTAAACTATTGGCCAGTACCTTGAATAGACTACCTAAAACTATATACACCCGTTTTGGTTAGCCACACTGCCCAAGCACCACATATAGCGAACTAGAGGGCGGAAAATTGCCCTTCTAGTCTATTTACTCTATCAAAAGTCTAGTGGGTTCCAAATTTACACGCCTTCCCACTTAGCCAAGATAGGTTGAGAGCTAGCGAACCGAATTTACACAGGCGCCGCTTAGTCTCCCGGTCCCTCCGACCTAGCGAACGTAATATACACCCTAGAACGCTAGTCTAGACAAGACACCGGTGTCCGGCTAGGGCTATTTACACAGGACCCCGCCTGACTAACCAGATCAAACGGTCTTACTAAAGAGCGTTCGATCGAGCGGTGCGCCTTCGCTCCTTCCCTCCGACAGAGGGGGCAGATTCCATACACAGATTTAAACCCCTTTTGGGCCTACCGCACAATCGGTATACCCCTAGTGGGTCTGCCGTCTAAAACAGCAGTTGTCTTACCTCCTCGTTCCTGAACCTGAGTTCACACTCATCGACGGGGACACCCCAGCACTTCTTACGTAGAGGCCGATGATCTCCTGGACAACAGACCAGTGGCGCCGAGACGAAGGGAGGTCCACGCAGAAGTTCAGGGGTGCAGCCGTAGAGAACGTGGGCAAAGATAGACCGTCTCACGCCTCTGCCTCTCAGCTACCGTTGAACGATGAGTTTCCCGGCCAATGCACCAAATGATACCGGAGAAACTGACGGAAGCAAAGCACAGAGAGATGGACACAGGTTTCTTCAGGAAGGAAGAGATTCTTTATTGGATCACCGATCGGGACTCAGAGGGACTAATGTCACCAAAAATACAGCAAGTTCTGAGCCCTGAACAATAGTGCAGGCTCCCTATATAGGCACATAACTCCTCCCATTAATAGCTACACCCACATATACCTTTAACCAATCAATGAGCAGAATATAGACTTGTACATCTAGTCAAACCACATGGCTCATCCAAGACAAAGGAAATAAGTGCAATTTCAGTTCCTGCATTCCTGCACATGCTCAGTACACTGATGACAGTATCCTAGCTACATGTAGCTAACCAACTGACACAACATACACATATGCCACATGGAGATTTTGGCCTACTAAATTTTAACCATGCTGGAATCCCATCACAACAGAACAGCACTAACAGCAAAGATATGTACCACCCTCACTGCTAACCACATGGTAGACCCGTGGCGCATCCTACACCCAACAGAAGTAGACCATACATGTCAAACAGCTGCCCACAACAGGTACTCACAAATAGACAGATTCCTTGTCCCCGCTACGTCGAAGCCCCAAATAGAGGAGTCTTCAATCGGGTTAATGACGTGGTCCGATCACACTTCCATCACACTCAGCATTAAAGAAACATTCTCCAACAAAGGGTCCGGCACATGGAGACTTAACGAATCTCTCCTAACAGACCCCTTCATAGTCTCTCAAATAACAGAAGACTTACAACATTATATCACCGAAAACACAACCGCCGACTCCACCATTGAACAAATATGGCTAGCCCATAAGGCAGTCATAAGGGGCAGCTTTATAAAACATGCCAGTTACGCCAAAAAACAAAGAACAGCAGAATCCACTAAACTCCTAGATGAAATTCAAAGCCTAACGCACTCCAACAAAAAAGAGCCAAATTCTACCACACTAGCAAAACTTTTAGCCCTCCAAACTAGCCAAAACTACATATCTACTCCAAAAAGTCAAACATAACTTTTTTACAAGTGCTAACAGAGCAGGTGCCTGCCATTCTAGCATCGCAGCTTAAACGCAAAAGTGTCGCCTCCAGGATTGCCATCCTAAATGACTCTACGGGCAAGAAAATAACAAACCCCCAAAATATTGTGGATCACTTTGCACTATACTATAGCAAGCTGTATAACCTTAAAAACGACAGTAGTGTTATAACACCAGCCCCTAAAAAAATCGAGGCATTCCTCTCGAACTTAAACCTACCCAAGCTGTCAGAGGAAGAGCTAATACCTCTGAAACAACCCTTCTCTCTTGATGAGCTCACGACAGCAATTTCACAACTCCCTACACACAAATCACCGGGCCCCCACGGTATAACAAATGAATATTATAAGACCTTCTCCCCAACCATAGCACCATTGCTTCTACAACTCGTCAACAAATGTGCCACTGAGGGCGCACTGCCAAAAGAAATGCTTTTAGCACATATATCTACCCTCCCTAAGTCAGGCAAGCCTCCCACACAATGCAAGAACTTTAGGCCCATCTCCTTACTGAACGGTGATGCCAAATTGTATGCTAAGCTAATCAGTAACTGCCTAGCCCTCCTGCTCCACAAAATAACAACAATCAATCTGGGTTCATAAAATGGGTCGTCAGGGCTCGGATAACACCAGGAAAATCCTAAACATACTATCCGCAGTAGAGTCCCATAGATCATCAGGCCTCCTTCTCGCCTTAGATGCGGAAAAAGCCTTCGACCACCTAAATTGGGCTTACATGACCAGGGTCTTATCACAATTCAACTTCCCTGCATCCACTATAAGAAGCATCATGGCATTGTATCAACACCCAGCGGCGAAAGTCTCCCACGGAGGGTTCTTATCCACACATTACAAATGGGACCTGCCAGAGATGCCCCCTATCAGCCCTTCTGTATATACTCGCCCTTGAGCCTTTGGCTCAAAAGATCCATTCACACCCCCGAGATATCGGGGGTCAACATACACAACAAGACATATAGTCTAGCTCTTTTCGCAGATGACATCTTCATAGCACTGTCAGAACTGAAACGCTCCCTCAATCCCTTATTAGATCTACTACAGCAGTTTGGTAACATATCCTACTACCGTCTGAATCTGGACAAAACCCAGGCTCTGCCCTTAAACTTACCAAAACCCTTACTGGACATACTCCATACCTCCTACCCGTTTGATTGGAAATCAAAATCCATAACCTATTTAGGGGTGAAAATAGCACCCTCTATATCTGCTACTTCACAACTAAACTACAAACCCCTCATAACACTATGTAAGTCAGAAATGAGCAAATGGAAACACACAAAACTCTCCTGGTTAGGGAAGGTCAACACATATAAAATGATGATTCTCCCCCGTATCCTCCAGGTCTTTAGGATGCTACCCCTGGGGATCTCACCTCAATACTGCAAATCACTGCAAAAACTATATAGCACCTTTATTTGGGGCAGCAGGAGACCCAGGGAGTCCTTGGCGACTGTTACGGTACCTCCAGTAATAAATGTGTAAACCGCCGTTTAGCGAATGCTCCCCGTTCGCAATAATGTAGTCTGGTAGCGTATGCCGTATAATCATGCGAACCGCCAGCTAGGGAACACTCCAAACTCCCGAACGGTACCTGTATGCTCTTTCCCTTCACGAACTCCAAATCCACGAACTGACAATATTAGCCGAACGCCAATATCTTCCAAGCGGCAAATAATCCAAATAAGCAGTCTCTAGTCGTCGGTAATAAAATCCCCCCAATAACGAGACCAAGCTCCGCTTTGAGGGTAAAACATGAACTGCTTTACTGTGGGCTACCTGCCCGGTATTTATGCAGGTCTCCCACCTGGTGGACACTCCCCTAAGGGACCAAATGGGAGACTGAAATTACAGAACGACATGGGGACATTTTGGACATACTTCCCCACAATATTCCCAGCATGCATCACAGTTCCCTCCCCTCTGCTCGGGGGATAATTGGGAAGTAATTCAATTATCTCCCCGAGCAGAGGCAAATCGCCATTTTAAGTACAAGTCACAAAACACATAAAAATCTATAACTTTATAACTGCCGAACATATTGCATTTGTGTAACACATCCCCAGATAGCCTGGATCTGAGTGCATATTATTGGCGAATAGCGCTCAGATCCCATTAGCATAGTTCAATCGCCATGGAGTCAAAGTCTATTACAGTTCTTCGGTATGCGATTGACTCCATGGGACGGCTATCTGGGTTAAGTCCATTCGTGTTGTTGAATCTCCCGAACGGCCGGCATTCGTATGCTTTTGTCAATTGAGAAGGGGAGGTCGACGGCTTCAGCGGTGTTCGGTTGAAAAAGTGTCAGTTTTCAGATCCATGAAATAATCTTCGAACACCACTGGTCTTTTGCATGGTTAAAATGGCCGCCGCCTCGTGGTCGACATACGAACGACGACCACCCGGCATTCGGTTTTAATTGAGAAGTGTCTGTGGTTAACCGCAACGTTCTAATTGGGATCAATAGGTTAACCAGCAGCACACTTCTCTTCTGGGTGGCCGTCCATTCAGTAGTTCCGTTCGGAAAAAAACGACATTCCCTTAAACAAAGCATACGAATGGGGGAATTCATGCAAACGGCAAAACAGACGAACACGGTACTTTTAGTCCAGACAGATGGGTCTGTCACACGGACCCTTCAAATCACACCCCAACTGGGGGGGGTATGTCTCCCTAATATTAAACAATACCACAGAGCAGTGATACTTTCAACAGGAATACTGCTTCATGCCCAGCCTAGCACGATCCAGTGGGTGGACATGGAAAGAGCACAATTCAAAGAACAACCCCTAATCGACTACTTGTGGACACTCAAACGGTTTAGAATTAGACGCAATTACCCATTCCCAACAACGCAACTCACAATATCTTTATGGGATACCTTTATGGAGACTATAGGTCACAAATGTACAATTCACACCAAATCACCAGTCTCAGTCCTTAAAGCAATTGTCCCAGATATCCCCCTCAAAGATTGGAACGAGGCAGGGTTAACAAAAATATCCCAACCACTCGACACCAAAGGAATAATACCATTCCCAGTCATACAAACATAGTGGCAGGTCCCGAATCGAGCTATCTTTTCCTACTTACAATTAAAAAGCGCTTTACAGGCACATACATCACCCTCGCAAACAACACAAGACCCAACACGAGCCTCTTCGAACTTGATTTTAGAACGATGTTGGGCTTCACCCGCAAAACCCAAAACACTTACATTATGCTACAAAGCATGGCAGGAACGCTCAACAACCAACCCACTCACATATAAAGGCCAATGGGAGACAGATTGTGCAGTAGCGCTGATGGACGATGACTGGTTACGTGCTCTTAATGGCCTGACCAAATGGAAAACGTTTTACACGCACATTGAAGCCCATAAACAACTTCTATACCGCTGTTATATGACCCCACAGAGGCTTCACCGTATATACCCAAATACATCCCAGACCTGCTGGCGGTGCAACACAGCCACTGGAACATTGGAGCACCTGTGGTGGTCATACAACAGCATCCAACCCCTTTGGACTCATGTTACCACAACATTGGGACCAGAAGACATCCCTAAATTCCCATTAACAAAAACCTCCTGCCTCCTGCTCCTGCTCCCAGACCGCCTGAGCCTAGGACAAAAGCAAATCACAGACCTTAGCATACTAGCTGCAAGAAACTTAATAGCACTACACTAAATGTCAACTGTTGTGAAATACAGAAAGTGTGTACCCTCATTAACCCAACCATTTTTTTCCCTCTGTATCCCATTTTGCAATATGAAAACAATAAAATACAAATTAAAAAAAAAATGTGCAACCGGTACCTTAAGCATAAAAGCTCCTAGCCTCAATAATGCACAGCTTTACATCTATAACCTTAAGCGCAACTAGTTTTGCTATGCGCATATCTAGTCTAGCATGTTACACTACACAATACTGTTGTCTAATAGCCTGTTATCTCCATGTTATTTAAAAATGTGCTGTATTAACTGTCACACCATGAAATGTTATGGAAAATGCTTGTGGATGCTGTTGTGGCTCTGCACGCTTGTTGTCTGTCTATGCACAAGAAAAATAAAGAATTAAATAGAAAAAAGATACAGTGCAACAAAGAACACATTGCATTCAAAGAAAAGCAATTTACAAGGAGGAAGTATAGGTTAGAAAATAATTTGTTCCTTGGAAAGGCCATATACCACATATACCAATTGTCATTATGTGTTACATCACTCCATAATCCTTGCCCATATTTCCTGATAAATAAAATATTTCCAAATTTGGAAACGATAAGCCTCTCTTGCACTTTGGGGGGGAGATTTGTGAGCAAGGCACATTTGAAGTACCAATACCAATGAAGTACTAGTACTAATAAAGTCGTTCGGACTCAAATTGCCAAGGTGTGGAATAAGTATAGTAGCGGTGGCAACAAATTAATTTCCATTGTGTTTACCTGCCGATCCAGAGTTTTTACTGTAGGTCTTCTTTAGGTCTTCCATTAATCCTGATAGCAAAGCTAATTGGTAAAGGTTATGCTATTTATAGGACTATAATTGTTAAATCCCTTCTTATTTATTTATGTATATATGTATGTTGATTGTATTACTACAATCTACAGTCTACAACAGACCTGTACAACTTGGCAGTAGGTAGGGGCCAAAATTAAAATTGATTATGCATCTTCAGGCGGCAGATATATATTTTAGTGCATTAGTGTTTGCTCTCTTATTTCATTGTTTTACTCCATACTATGTATGCTTTCCATTCATTCTTTCTCTAATTACTGGGTATCATTTCCATTTATGGTTTTACTCCTTACTATGTATCTTTTAATTTCATTATTTTACTGCCTAATGTTTCTCTCTCCTTTCATTCTATTACCCCTCACCTTTTAACCCCTCCTTTCATTCTTTTATTCCTCACTTTCTACCCCTTCCATTCATTATTTTATTCCTCACTTTTTACCCCTTCCTTTCATTGTGGGTCACAGTGTGTGTGTTGGAGGGGGGAGGGAGACTGACAGTGTCTGTGTGTGAGGGTCACAGTGTGTAAGGGAGTCTGTGTGTGTGGAAGGTTACAGTGTGAGGGGATGACAGTGTGTGTGTGGTGGTTACAGTGCTATGAGCAGAATTTGTTTTGTACTGGAGCATTATTAAAATAGCACAATTTCTGATCAAACATTGTAAACATTTCTTAATCACTATGGAAACAGTGGAATGTTCATGCAGCCTGCTTAGAACTTCCCTCTGAACTGTTCTACACATACAGCCCTATAGTGTTTGAAACTATGTCCAGAAAATTACATTAACTTGTTATTACAGACACCTTCCATTCAACAAATATTATTGATGCAGCCAGAACCCCCACGAATCTGGAAAGATAGTAATTCAAAATATCACACTCTAAAACTATTAACACAGAATTAAAAAAACAGGCTAGTTTTAGTTCCCTAGTCATTTATTACAGATGCAATCTTTATGCTTAGTCTAAATTATTTAAATATAAAATCGACCACTACTATCAAGAGAATGGGAAAGGTCATTATGAAGTGACCGCTGCAAAAATAGGCAATAACCCTACCTTTGACTTAGTTATAGCTGAGAAGAGACATACGTCCGTCAACTCCAGCCTTTCTCACATCTTTTTTTGCTGTTGATCCAAACTAAGGCAAAAAATCCAGTTTGAAGTGCTTCCAATGTTGCATCAAATTAGGCAAAAATTCCTTCTTGACCCCAGAATGGCAGCCAGATATCTCATTGGATCCAGATGCTATCTGTCCCACTAATTAAAAATGATATCTCTGGAGTAGGCGTGGCCAACTGCAGAGCAGAAAATTTGCATGGAGTGATCGTTCTGGTATCCACCAGGCCCAAACTTACTAATAGAATGCCAAACAGCTCAAAAACAGACATAATAAACGTCAAACCCCAGTGTGACAACAGGGTGAGCCAGATGGCACCATCAAAGCAGCTTAAAATAACAGACCCGATGCCCCATGGCAAGAAAGACCACCTGAAAAACATGCAAGATTGTGACGAAATCATGGCTCACTTATCTGCCTTGGAAGGCCCCACGGAGATGGATCTTCTGCCCCTCACACCCGCGGATATATTTCGGTCACCAACAAAAGCCTTCATATCATGCTGCAAGATTTAAAAGCATCCCACTGAGCTGATTTCTGACAAGGATGGCAAAACTAAAAGAATGGGCCTACATCACGCTATGGGATCCACTTCACCCCGCCACATATCGCCAAAGAATATAAGTCCAGAATGGAAGATGGTGGGAGTCCTGGCGGGGACCAGAGCGAGCATTGCTGATTAGACTGGACTCAACAGCTGCATTATTACCTAGCACTTGAGTATCACAGAGTTTTACTAATCATATATATTTTTTCTCTTTTCATCCTAATTATTTCACTCCTGTAGAGCTGGAAAGTTAACTCTATGCTTTAAGTTACCATAAGGTCTTATGCAACCCATCCAAGTAGTAAATCTACATGCCGATTCTTAACAAATGTATTTGCCGGCATATTTGCTGGCACCTATTAGATATAGTTTTTATACTGATGTGGGTTGATGTATAGGCTTTGTACTTGCATGATGATTTGCAGTTGTGGGTCCATGTGGTTAGTCTCACAAAAACACCAACGGACACGCCTAACATAGACAGATTCAGGGACTGAAGCATAAATGGTTAACCAGTACATAAGTTCGCCTTAATTTGTCAATGACCCTATGCTCAATCTAGAGCCATTATCACCTAGTAAATACATGGAGGCATCTTCTTTACATGCAAACTGTAATAACTCCCTATGAGTCAGTTGAGGGGCTGATCACGAAAGAAGCCAGCTTCAGACGGTTTTCAACTCCTGTAAAGAGGCCGACCTATGCCACCATGCAATGCAAAACACAATGAGCCTATCTCGGGCTGGCAATAAGTGAGAGCCATAACCACAAAGCCTAATGCAGTACCCATCTGGAAAAGCGACTGCACATACATTCTTTAATTTACAGGCAATACGGAGCTAGCACTTATCATCTAGTATGTAAATTGTAGCAGATGTACCATATCCCGCTACACAGGCATAGGACACTCTTTTGGAGTTCAAAGGGAATCATGACGGAATATATCCGTCATTTGTCATTAAGGGATTAATGTTATGGTATAAGTGTTTAACCCCTTAAGGACACATGACATGTGTGACATGTCATGATTCCCTTTTATTCCAGAAGTTTGGTCCTTAAGGGTTTAATGTTTATGTTTGGCTATGTAACTACTTAAAATGGGCTACATATTGGTGGAGACTTCATCTGCCTCACCCCTTGACCAAAATATGGGCAGAGACCCCCTTCTCTGTCACTTCGGTCTTACTCTTGGCTTGTTTGGCAAAGGTTTAATTGATATACTTTATTTTTTCTATGAGTCTCTATTTCCTTAATGTTACTGTCTTAATTTCTCCTGTTTCTTTACACCTTGCCTGTCCTTTCACCACAAAGTGAATACTTATCATACACATGGTCAGACCAAGCTTGCAGGTAATGGTACTTTAGCTCTGACACAGAACGTTCGGGGGCGACCTCTGAGGCAGCCAGAGCTGGCATCGAAAATCCTAGCACACTCGTTTTCCCTTCTTTTACATCAAGGAAACTAGTTCTCAGAGTTATATCTGACCCATGGCTACACCAACATTTAAAATGTACTCCTTAATGTAGGGAGTGGCCATCTAGATTCTTAGATTAAGTACCAGCAGCATCACTAACACAAGACCGGCACAATTAATGTAAGCTTGCCATCTACAACTGCCTTTTACTAGCATTTATTTAGGCCCTTTATTTCTAAGCCTCTGTGACACACATTGCCCAAAGTCTGTCCTGTCGAGCAGCTATCTCCACAATTATAATATTAACCACATGTTAACCTATTTGGGCCGATAAGGCACCACTAGGGTACTTCGCACACTTGCACACATGCACCACGCATAGCAAGCCAATCCATGGGCCACAAGTTTACCACCAAAGGCTGCAGGTGCCCACAGTCACTACCTTATGGGCCTCACTCCCTCTTGTACCATCTGTCAGGATTATAAGTTGATCCAGCACACAGTACTGTGTCACACCTAGGACTAAGGATAACGTATAACCGGACCTTAGAATGGCTGGACTTAACGTCTCCAAGAATAGTCAAAATACTTGCCGAGGTCAGGGACAAAGAATCAGACACAAAGATGAGGGAAAGCCAAAAGTCAAGGATACCAGATATCAGGGAAGTCAAAACAAAGCCAAAGTCAAATACCAGAAAATCAAGATCAGGAACGCACTCTCGGAGAATCCTAGGCATTAAACCACGACTGGGCAATGAGCAAGAGGAGAATTGGGTTGAAATTCCCCTCCCGTGGATCCAATTGGCTGTAACCGGCCTCATGATTGCTGCTCAGCACAAACCCTCCCATGGATTTTATTTGCCATGACAGTCCTTTGACCCCAAATGTAATTACCAGGTTTCTATGTGCATGATTGTTGCTCGGCACAACTTTTCCTGTCAGGACGGTAATGTTGCTCGGCACAACTTCTCCTGTCAGGACAGTAAATGCCATTAAACACATTTTTATATGCGGATGAATACGTGACACCGTCTTCCTTTATTTTATTTTCATTTCATGTACATAAGTTGGGTTTACATCTAGTTTTCCCTTTGCATATATAACTACTAAATTGCCACGGCAAGGCCACACGTGAGCCATCTAGGTGGATATACACATGTACCCCTCATGGGTCTGCCTTTTACCCCATATGATATTACCAACTGCGTTTGACGGCAAAAGCAACAGGGCAGACACCAACAGCCTAACTATTACATTTATTTGATTTGCCTTATAACAGGTCTATTAGACATGCATACTCAGCTTGCACAATGTGACACTCTTTCAATAGGCGCATATCTTGAAGCATACTACAAAACTTAAAAAGTGTGATTTAAGCAATTGCCATAATACTATAATGTACCACGTTTTCTTTATGTTTGAAGAAGCTGTTGTGGCTTACCAAGTATTGTGTTATATTTACGCATAAATAAAAGTTTACAAAAAATGTACTCCTTAAACGTTAAAGGACTAAATAGCCCGCACAAATTTCGCCTAGCAGTACAATACTTGCACAAATCCCAAGTGGCACTGATATGCCTTCAGGAAACTCATTTCTGCTCCCGCAATCCCCCACAACAAGAGTTGGGCGAACCCAGACTGTAAAGTTCGGGTTTGTACTGAACATTAGATTTTTTGGACCCCGGATCCAAACACGGACGTATCACTGTATGTTCGGTTTGGAGTTTGGTGCTCAGCGATTTAATGGCGCGTTTTGAAAGGCTGCAGGGCAGCCAATCAACAAGCGTTTGACTCGTGTGCCCTTAGAAGCCATCACAGCCATGCCTACTAATGGCATGGCTGTGATTGGCAAGTGCAGCATGTGACCCAGCCGCTATATATAAGCTGGAGTCGCGTAGCGCCGCACGCACATGCGGTCTTATTAGTGTAGGGAGAGGATGCTGCCACTGATAGGGACAGCTTAGGAAAGAATTCTGCAAACTAGTACATTAGTGGGATGGGTGCACTTCATATCTCAGAGTCAAATAGAAGCTTCAAATAACATGGTTACATCAGAGTTTTAAAAAGTAAATTTTTTTGGGTGCTTAATAGTACATTAGTGGGATAGTACATTAGTGGGGTGCAGTTCATATCTGAGAGTCAAATAGAAGCGTCAAATACTGCTGTCACATTGCAGTTTTAAAACTTAAAATTATTTGGGTGCTAAACTGCTAAATAGTATTTTAGTGGGGTGCACTTCATATCTGAGATTCAAATCGAAGCGTCTAATAGTGTGCTTACAACGCAGTTGTAAAAATTCTAATTTTCTTGGTGCTAATCTGCTAAATAGTACATTTTTGGGTGTACACTTCATATCTGAGAGTCAAATAGAAGCATTTTATAGTGCGCTTACTGCACAGTTGTAAAAATTAGAATTGTTTTGCTGCTAATCTGCTGCTTACATTAGAGTTTTAAAAAGTCCATTTTTTTTTTTTATGCTAAATAGCATATTTGGGGTGTTCACTTCATATCTGAGAGTCAAATCGAAGGGTAACTTTGATTCAAATTTACTACATCGGTCACTTGTAATATTGTTTCACACCTGCAACACTTGTTACACAGATCTAAATGATAGAAAATAGATTGATATTTTCTACACTAGAAACTACCAGATAACAAGCTGCTATATTCAATAGCTAAGAGGTACTTCAACAATATTGCAATTCTGGGGCAATACCCTCACAAGTCAAACTGAGAGGTCAGTTTATAGGGAAAACTGTTGCCTGGATACAGTTCTAAAACAATTTCCATATGTCCTTTGCAGACTTTAAAAACATGCTGGAAAAACACAGGTGCCAACTGCTGTGGCTTTCTGCAGTGTGCATGCAGGCAAGGAGGACAGGGTTGAGGAGTGGGTGGAAGATGATGTGTGCTAATCTGCTAAATAGTACATTTTGTGTCCTGCTCTTCATATCTGAGAGTCAAATCGAAGCGTCTAATAGTGTGCTTACAGCGCAGTTGTAAAAATTCAAATTTTCTGGGTGCTAATCTGCTAAATAGTAAATTTTGGGGCCTGCGGTGTACTTCATATCTGAGAAAAAATTGAAGCGTCTAATAGTGTGCTTACAGCGCAGTTGTAAAAATTCTAATTTTCTGGGTGCTAATCTGCTAAATAGTACATTTTGGGGCCTGCTCTTCATATCTGAGAGTCAAATAGAAGCGTCAACTGCTGTGGCTTTCTGCAGTGTGCATACCGGCAAGGAGGTTAGGGTTGAGGAGTGGGTGGAAGATAATGTGGAGGATGATGAGGTCCTAGACCCCACATGGAATCAAGGTCATGCAAGTGACGTGTGCAGTTTGGAGGAAGAGGCGCTGGTCACACAGAGGCACCAGCACAGCATAAGAGGGAGCAGGGTGCAAAAGCGGAGAGGCCGTCCCCTAGCGCTCATCGGCATGTATTAACTCGAGAATTACCAGTTATCCAAGTAATACATGTAGCGATCAAAGGATCCATAATAGAGTTGAGCGAACCCAAACTGCAAAGTTCGGGTTCGTACCAGATATAATGATCCATTCGTAGTTTCACAGTCAGGTGGGCAGACCAGTGACCAGGACCAAGACACTGTCTGGGCGGCGGTCGGACGACCGGGACCCAGTATGCCTGATGTTGAAGTTAGGAGTCACAGTGTGGAATGGATTAGCAGGGTCTGGTGCAGAGTAACCAAGCCCCCTTGTGTTGAGCACCAGCGTATGTGCGGCCACATACCAGGACCCTAATGCAGCTTCAGTAAAAAGAGTACTGGATACCAGAAGCCATCACCAGACTGATCCACAACTTGGAACAGGATGTGACATTCACTGTAGTGGCTGTGCGCACTTTTGGCGTTGTCACCCTGCTGCTGCTCGCCTGTCTGTGCTGCAGTGTAACTTCGGCCTTCCCGCTCACCACCTCCTGAGACTGTGCGAGCAGCAGCAGGCGATAGTGGAGTTTCAGCTGTAGCACACACGGGTCAGTGGCTCTGCACCAGACTTCCCTCCAATTGATCAGAGTTAAAGGATTTCAAGTGGACTCATTACAATTACAGGGCCTCTAAAGAGTCCTGTATTGTTATTTGTCATCACTACCTTTCCGCATTGGGAGTGGGTCATTTACGCGCCTGCATGTGGTAGCCGTTTCTCAGGGTTCCTGTACGGAATGGAACCCTGATTCCCCATTACCCGTGGTCACCATGGTAGGCTCAGAAACTGGCATCGAAAGTTGATATGGATGACATCCGCATGCAAAGTCGTGCCACGGGAATGTGCGATTGGCCCGAGGTTCTCTAGAGTCAACAAAGTACCTGCGCAACTATAATGTCAACAGCTACTCTGCCGAACAGAGTTGTCTTTTTTTATATGTCCCAATATTTTGTGGGCTACTCCAATTAAAAAATATATATATTTATAAAAAACAGTGTTGGCTACCTCATCCTCCTCCTCCACCGCCACGGTCACCGCCTCCTCAACCTATGGATCACTTAGTATAAACTATGTTCACATTAGCAGAGGCTTGTAAAGTCATCATTTTTAAATATTTTCAATAAAATCTTTGATTTTAAGTCCGGAGAGCAGCCTTTTCTTGTGGAAGTTATACCTATTGGAGCTTTGGTGGTGCGCCCGGCATTTGGAATACTTCAAGCGTGAGTGCAGGGGATGTTGATAGTTTTTTTATATATATATATATATATATATAAACAGTGTTGGCTACCTCCTCCTCCTCCTCCACCGCCGCTTCCACCTATATGCCACGGTCACCGCCTTCTCAACCTATGGGTCACGTAATATAAACTATGTACACAGTAGCAGAGGCTTGTGAAGGCCTTTTCTCCATGCATCAGGAGTTGAGCTCCGTTTGAACAATGTAAGAGAATACCCTGCACTCCAACCCTCTCTCAAATGGATAATTCTGGTGATCCTCCTGACAGCCATTCTTTAGATTTTGATTTATGTTCTTCCAAAGCTAAAATCATCTAGTGCTATTTTATGGCTGAGCTGTATTTTTAATTTTTATGTTATTTTAAGTGATTTTCCTATCCACATTTGTTTGCAGTGCACTTGTCCTACTCTTACCCCCATTTTACTTGCTTTTGCAGCTCTCTAGCTCTTTCCAGGAGTTTTTTAGAGGCATTTTTGTGCCCAAAAGTTAAGGTCCCCATTGACTTCAATGGGGTTCGGGGTCACGTTCGAGGTCAAGTTCAAGCCCGAAACCTGACTTTTTTTCAAAGTTCGGCCAAACCCGCCGGACCCGAACATCCAGGTGTCCGCTCAAATCTACCCACAACTTTATACAAAAAATACCCCCAAGCTTACAATGACTATTCCCCACACAAATCTAAAGGGGTCTCTATCTTCCACTCACACTGTGTGTTTCTCAGGAAAGCGCACAATATGCGGACCCAGTGGGCCAACTTTTGATAATTTTTTTTGATCATTAAACGGAATTCAAATCACTATAGAGCAGTGATGGCGAACCTTTTTGAGCCCGAGTGCCCAAACCGCAATACATGCCAACATTTTTTCTCCTTAAAGTGCCAACACGGCAATTAAACCCAAATACTGAGGTTTAAGTTTAGAAAAAAACAACTCGTACTGTTGTCCGAACTAATAACTTTTGTTTTAAAAGAACACAGAGAGTTCAATGATACAAATTTTAAATAATGATATAAATAGATAAAATTAAGCTTATATTTATTAGTATCTCCAACAAATGCAATACATACACACACAGACTGCTGAATACATACACACAGTCTGCTGAATACACACACACAAGACTGCTGAATACAGAGACTGATGAATACACATACAGACAGACTGCTGAGTACACACACACACACAGACTGCTGAGTACACACACACACACACAGACTGCTGAATACACACACACAGACTGCTGAGTACACACACACACAGACTGCTGAGTATACACACACATACTGCTGAGTACATACACACACATACTGCTGAGTACACACACACACATACTGCTGAGTACACACACAGACTGCTGAGTACACACATACTGCTGAGTACACACACACACAGAACACACACACACACTGCTGATTACACACACACACAGACTGCTGAGTACACACAGACTGCTGAGTACACACACACAGTCCGCTGAATACACGCAAACACACACAGACTGCTGAATACATGCACACACACACACTGCTGAATACACACATACTGCATTGAGGTGGGGGGTGCGTGTGTGTGTGAGTGTTGTATGTGAGGGGTGCTGTGTGTATGTGAGGGGTGCTGTGTGTGTGTGGGGGGGGTGCTGTGTGTGTGGGGGGGTGCTGTGTGTGTGGGGTAAGTGGGGGGGCAGGGGTACCTGTGCGTGGGGGGTAGGCACCGCTGGGAGGGTAGGTACTGTGTGTGGGGGTAGGGGTACCAGTGTGGGTGTGGGGGGTAGGGGTACTCCTCGCTGGGAGTGTTGGGGTACTGTGTGTGGGGGGTAGGGTACCGCTGGGAGGGTTTTCAGGTACTGTGTGGTGGGGGGTAGGGGGTACTGTGTGTGTGGGGGGTAGGAGTACCGCTGTGGGGGGGGGTAGGGGCACTGGTTGGGGTTAGGAGTACCGCTGGGGGTTAGGAGTGCACCAGGTGCAGTGTGGCTACTGCTGGGGGTGTGCTACGCTGGGGTAGGGTTACTCGCTGGGGGGGTAGGGGTTACTGCTGGGGGTGGGAGTTGTCGCTGGGGGGGTAGGGGTACCGCTGGGGGTAGGGGCTACTGCTGGGGGAGTAGGGGTTACTGCTGGGGGGTAGGGGCTACTGCTGGGGGAGGTAGGGGTTACTGCTGGGGAGGAAGGGTTACTGCTGGGGGGTTAGGGGTTACTGCTGGGGAGGGTAGGGGGTACTGCTGGGGAGGGTAGGGGTTACTGCTGGGGGTTAGGGGTTACTGCTGGGGGTTAGGGGTTACTGCTGGGGAGGGTAGGGGTTACTGCTGGGGAGGGTAGGGGTTACTTCTGGGGGGGGTAAGGGTGCTGTGTCAGTATACCCCCCCTCCCTCCTTCTTACTTTTAATGAAGGGGGGGGGACACACAGCGATCCCTGGTGGTCTGGTGGTGGTAAGCACTGCAGGGGGAGGGCTCCAGGAAGCAGCTCCCCTGTCCTCTCGCGCAATGCTGTGTGGAGCGTTGCCATGGTAACGCGCGGCAACGCTCCACACAGCATCGCGCGGGAGGACAGGGGAGCAGCTTCCTAGAGCCCTCCCCCTGCCTCCCGACCCGGAAGCAGAGTAGGCGCCTGCCGTTTCGGGCAGACAGGCGCCTACTCTGCATTGATGGCGGACCTGTGGCCGCGTGCCCACAGAAAGGGCCCGGCGTGCCACCTGTGGCACGCGTGCCATAGGTTCGCCATCACTGCTATAGAGTCTGTATACGCCCCTAATGAAGCACAGATATCGTTCATATGTATGACACTAAAAAAAATTGAGTCCATAAAAAAAGGCCACACGGGGGCGGGGTCTGACAGCCGAGCTCAGCAAGCTCCGATACAAACGGGCTCAAAACTAGCTAATATTGGCAAAAAATCTCGACTACAGCGGTCCAGCTTGCTGATTACTCATGGCTGAATCATGTGGGGACTCATGGACACCCAATCCTGGAGAGAGCAATTTGAGGCTCGATTTGATCAATTATGTCTGGCACTCTGGCAGCGTATGGAGCACAAAGCCACCTACCCTGCTCTACCTGTTACAAAGGAGAAGGAGGCCGCTGCGGCAACTTACCAGCCCAGCACCCACACGAAGTCACGTCCATCTTGCAGACTGGCCCGCCATCGGACTCTCCCGACACCTCTCCGCAAAACCGCCAGAAAACACCAACCACCTACACCACGACCTCGCAACAGCCTCCCCGCAAGTCTCTCAGGTGGGTGCAACTCCTACACACCACTCCGACAGCAATGCGGATTCCGAGCACAGCGGAGGCCCAGAAGACAAGATACGCTTAGACAGGGTGGCGAGCCAGCTGCCACAGACCAAGACCACACGGCGCCCGGGACCGGAGCGACCCTCCCCTGCAGCTTGGCGGACTTTTGTTCCCAGGAGGAAACAGCCTGCCATCAGCAGCCATCGGCTAAACAATCCCAGGCAGAGACAGTCCCCAACTGGCTAGTTTCCACTTTTAACTTTAAGACCCTAGATGCCACACCAACAATACAACCAGCCTGGGACTGCACCTAATCTCAGTGGACGCTATACTCCCATTGTCATTTCTATTTCATTTTTATTTCACTCTTATTTTCACTTCACCATGTGAATATACCTGTCACACCAATTTAGCTTGTTACCCACTGCACATAGCCGGCTGACACCAAGCCTAACAATTACCTCTGTAGAAACACAATCTACTCACACATAGCCTGACACTAAGTACCCAGTGGCTCCAACACTCACAGTTAATCGTTGTTTAGCATATTATAAAACTAACTCTTATAAGACAAACCTATTGTCAGCCTACACTACTCTAACACAAACTTGAAACCAAGCCATGCGCTGACCCTAATTGTCTTAACCTGTGAACCACATCTTGATATGCTTAATTACCCTAGCATGTTATCTAATATATGCATTGTTTATTAACCTGTTATTTTTGTGATCATATAAAAAAAATGTGCCAACCAAACTGCCACACTTTTGAAATGTCTGGAAAACGCTTGTGGACGCTGTTGTGGCTCTGCACGCTTGTTGTCATATGCACCAGTAAAATAAAGAATTTTTTTAAAAAAGGCCACACAATAATATGTGGGGACTTTAACTGCACCTTAAATGCGGAGTTAGATATTAGACCGGAACAAAACAAATGATCCACCCCCATTGCCAATATGAATAGCACAAAGATTTTCAAATTAGTGTTTTAACACGACTTCTTTGACTCGTGGCACAATAAGTATCCCTCAGAGAAAGATTACACATACTTCTCACAAGTCCATATGACCCACTCTAGTATAGACATATGCTTGGTGGATAAGCAAACAGTATCAAATATAGAGGAGGTGACCATAGGAGCTTGAACCAGGTCAGACCATGCCCCTATCACAGTCACGTTTCCAACTCTATACCTGGCTAGAGGGAGGGGGAAGTAGAGACTCAATGAGGAGCTGTTGGACAACGTCACCGCTTTGTTGGCAGTCACCAAGGGGGCCTCAGACTATTTTAGAGAAAATACTCAATTTCTCTACATTCCATTTGGGGAGCCCACAAAGCTGTAATAAAAGGATGTTAATTCAGAGCGGCACTTGGCGAAAAAGGAAAAACGCAAACGAAAAAGCCCGCCTGACGCAAGAGCTGATAGACCTTTACACTCAAAACAAAACCATCTAAGACTTTAATTAAACAAATAGACACAATACAAAAGGGGCTCCATTCTCTCTTGATGCAAGACACAGAAAGGCAGATGAGGGCTCTCAAGCTAAAGTACTACATACAGGGAAATAAAGTCTGTTTGTTAAGTTGGCTAACAAACTTAAGGCAAAAT